CTAACAAAAGAGATTCCCGTTTGTAGCTAGTTGTGATTCCCATTTTAAGATATAGATACAATGTTTTATTCATTTATATTTTGTCTGTATTTTAAAACTGAACGATTATAGATGCTGGGTTTTTTATATCAATGTAGATGCTTTTAAATTTCCTATAATGACGTAGCGTTTAGTTTACGAAGATCGATTTAACAAACTCTTTTTGGTGTTTTAGGGCTTTGAAGCCCAAATACTGAAGGCGTAGTGGCTGTCGTGGTGGCCCGGAGGTTTAAACACCCTCTTCTCATGCTTGAGAGTGCGGGTTCGAAACCTACCAACGACAAGTACCAATGTGACTTCTTCCTAGTTGTATGTACTTTCTAAGATCTAGACAACACTGACAATCGGTGAAAGAAAACATCGTGAGGAAACCTGGGCTTATAATTTCTAATTATAAGTTTGTAATCGCCAACCTGCATCGAGCAAGCGTGGTGATTCTCTTCTCACACGGAGGTTTGAATGCTCAGCAGTGGGCACTTATAGGCTGTTGATGATGACTGAAGGCTACTCAATTTTAAGTTGTACTTAAATATCGTTCCATATCTGGTATTTTACCAAAAAATTATAGTGACAGAGCTATATTTATGCGTGAAATTAAAATTGTGTGGCGTTTGAGTATTTGAACATTAATCTCCTAAAAACATAACATATCGTCACTTTTATCCCCCAAGAAAAGGTACACATTACGTCACTTAATGCCATTGTACAATGTAACACCCTCTTTTTACTATTAATTATGTTATGAGTTCCATGTAATAGCGCTACTCAACAAGATATATTATAAAAGTATGATTTTAGTTCGTAATCTTGTCTCAGATATATCATGTTGGTTTGCCTTAGCCTATTAAATTAGACTAAAGCATATTTAGCTAGTTAATTAAAGGCACTCTAGATCTCTCGACATAACACTCCTCGAATTTAAGATCTTACCGAATACACAGTCACAACTTTCCTATATTTACTGCCGGCATGATATAACTAAGACTATAATAGAAATATATTATCAACACAGTAAATACAAAGCCACTTAATCCTCATTTAGTTACATACAGCATTCATATAGTATTCAATATATTATACAATTCGTATGTAGGTATCTAAGGGTGCGTCCACATATGACGAATGTTTTTTAAGGGTGGAAAATTATCGAATTACTGCTTCTGCCTGGGAGAGGCGGGAGGCTCTTACTGACTAAAAACTACCCCGTTCCTACTCCTGCACTTTGAGCTGGAGTCCCGGTAACCCGTTAGGTTCTCCGCGACAACATATGACGAATGCGCCGCGAATATGCCACTCGCGACCTGTTTGTGGGCAGTCAAGGCAATGGTGCTCAAATCATACAAGGTTCGTGTACATAATAATTTTAAATTCAGCGTGTAGCTCGTGGGCGACTCGCGAGCTGCGCTTTCCAGGTGTGGACGCACCCTTATAAACTTATACTGTAAAACAAATTTCATGTATGTGAAACATGATGGGACGCAATGACACTCTCACTTTAGCATTCAAATATTGCTGTATTACGTACTTATTGTTATGGCACCCATTATTATAGAACCTTAATAATCACACAATTTTATATCAGGTTTTTCAATTGTAATAAAGTGAGTACAGACATGTTTTCATTTAAAGGGATTGTCTAAGTAGGTATACTTAGGAATTTGTTAATGATTTTTAACTACAAAATTAATAACAATAAGTTTGGTTATTTCAAATTTGAAAAATTCAATTTTAAATTAATTTTAATTTTTAATTTAAAATAAACGTTGCCCCACACTAGGACTATCTCCTGTGTCGTGGGTGCGTTTACAAACATACAAGTTCACATACACATGACACCCAGACCCGAAACAACAATTTGTGGATCACACAAAGAGTTGTTCCGTGCGGGAATCGAACCCGCGACACGTTGCACGGCAGCCGGTTGCCCAGCCACCGCACCAACCGTGCAGTCAAACATTTGAAAAACAGTAAAACTAAAACTAAATAGCTAAGAAGGTGAAGCGAAGCCTAGCTTGTATTGTGTTGTGTGTTTGACTGTTTAGACAAACAGACAAAAATTCTAAAACCCACATTTTTGGCTTCGGTATCGATTCTAGATCACGCGGCAAGTATTCTTTTTTAAAAATATTCAATGTACAGTTTAGACTTTTCTACGATTGTATTATTATGTTACCCGCGACTTCGTTCGCGTGAAATTATTCATATTTCTTGTTAATTTATACTTTTTTTACGCGACAACGTGTTGATTGGCGAGGCGTATTTGAGAGCTAGTGTGAAACGGAACGTTTATTGTCTACTCAAGATGGCGACTGCGGTTTGTCTGTTAGTGTCATTAAAATGAGTTAATAAAACGAAATATTCTCCGTAATCCGAATTTTGGGGATATATGTTGTCGATTCGAAATCGATATTTTTTATGTTTTGTTATGCAGGTAATGTTTCGATCGAGTTACCGATATTTTTTTATGTTAGTCTAAGGAGTACACTTGACGAAATTATTAATATAGGTAGATAGATAACTAAGCGTATAGAAATCAAATCAATCAAAAAATAATGTTATTAATGTAAATACTGAGTTCGTGTCTTCTTTAATTTATATCTTCGTCAATTTATATTATATTATAATTATATATATGAAGTTATTTATGTATGTACATATTTTGTGTTTATTATATATTTTTATACAGTATGTTATACAGTATTTATTATTATTATTACTATTAGTTATTTATTTTGTTTTTTTTTTTTGGATATTACACAGGCCCATTTTCGCTGAGCTTACATTTAACCCAAAGGTTGACTGGGAGAAAATGCCATATGGCATTAAGTCCGCCTTATGTACCTTATTTTGTGTGCATTAAAGTGTAAAATAAATAAATAAATAAATAATAAATACCTTTAAGTCGATACACAAAGCTGGGAGAAATTACACACAATTAAGGAAAACTAGTTAAATTCTCAGGACAGTAACCAGTATAGTAACTGGAGTACGGAAAACCGATAAATAAAGTGACCATTACACCAACAATTTATTTGCTACGAGTTAGTTAGTTTCTTAGATTATTATGATGTTATCTGCAATAGATTAATAGACATTCACTTGCTGTAAATAGTATACGTAATTGGTCGATAAACTCTAGAAATGTAGTGGATGTGTTAGGCGACAGCGAGAGTTGCCTACTTTTTATAATTACTTCATTTATTTTTAGCAATTTTTAAGATTATTTTTATGACAATAATTTCTATACATATTTTAGACAGTACAGTGGCAAGGTTTGTATAGTAGGTAGGTAAATTTGTTTAACTTTCAATAGGTGTTGTAAATAGGTTAGTGTTACGTTCCAAATAAAAGATTAACATAAACATATTTAAAAGTTAAAAACACTGCCTCGTTGGCGGAGTAGTCGCAAGTACGACTACCGGGCAAGGGGTCTCAGGTTCGATTCTTGGGTCGGGCAAAGTATGACTGGGTTTAAAAAAAAACTCAGTAGTAGCACGAAGTCTGGAATTGTGCCCGGTATACAGCAATAGGCTCACCCCCTATTACATGGGACTCATAACATAAATAGTGAAAAGTGGGTGTTACATTGTACAGTGGCATAATGTGCACCTCTGCCTACCCCTTCGGGAATAAAAGACGTGATGTTATGTTATGTTATTATTGTAACTAACTGACTAACTTTGAAGTGTGGGAGAGCCGAACTTCGGCACGAATGGGCCGGCTCGACCGGAGTGATACCACGGCCTCACAGAAAACTGACGTGAAAGTGACGTGCTTCAACGAGTGAATGAGATAACCGGAGACCCAATGACCCCCCTGCCCAGTCTCCCGAATCCCCGAATCCTCCACAAATCTCAAACTGAACCAATTCCCAAAGGCTGGTAACGCACTCGTAACGCCTTAGTGTTCCAGGTGTCCATGGGCGATGGCGATTGCTGTGATCCGTCTGCTCGTTTACCGGCTTATGCCATAAAAAAACATAAAAAACTTATGCCATAAAAAAAAAAGGCAGCGAAGCGCTGCCTCCTCGCAACCCAGCCATCGCGAAGGACACACCGGGCGTCGGGGATCGCGGGACGATCTCCGGCCACCGTAAGCGCGGGCCTGCGGACGGCGAGCATGGGTGGCTCCCCGTCCGACCAGAAACAGACCCAAGCGTACGGCGCGTCGCGTTCCGCGCGCGCCTCAAAGAGCCATCAGACTACCACAGATAGGGCCCAATAGGGCCGATGCCGATTCGGAGTCGCGGAGAACCTAACGGGTAACCGGGGCTTCGGCTCGACGTGCAGGAGAAGGAACGGGGTGGTTTTTAGTCAGTAAGAGTCTGACACTCCCTCCCGCCTCACCCAGGCGGGAGCAGTCATTCGACGATTTTCCCCTTTAAAAAAAAAAAAAAATGCCTACCCTTTCGGGGATAAAAGGCGTGATGTTATGTTGTGTTATCTTATTCAAAAGATCTAAAACCGTTAAAATCGCTTCCAATTCCCGCTCTCCCTTCTACCTTATCCCCATTCTAATCTACAAGGGCACATGCGTGCCATATTATTATGTTATTATTTGTCTAGTACGCAATAACTGCGAGATAACTCTGTTTACTTTGCATACTATTTACTATTTACTATTTAATCCACTAAAACTTTGATTTAACTACGATACAGTATTTTGAACTTCTTGCTATATGGGTGGGAAACTGTGAAATTCTTTCATTATCTAATCTGCTAGGCTACTGCAACTTTCAATTCGAAAGATCGAAATGTACTCGATAGGGGTTCGCCGTGTAATTGGTTGTGAGAATAATCTCGACTAATGACGGGCGAGAATGCAATCAACGTCACGTCTAAACATCGAATTTGATATGTAAAGAATAGCCTAGCTGCTTTAGTTATTTTTAAGTTTTAAACTTTTGGTTTGTGTTATCCACAAAGCCACTGATGGGTTTAACAATTGATATTGGAACTTACCGCATTCAGGGCTTCCATTTCATAAGAACTCAGCTTATAAGACGCCTCTGAGCCCACCAATCGAGGTGTTGATCTGAAAAGAAAGAGCATTCATTTTTATCCAACATACTCAGACTGCCTCGTTGGTCAAGTGGTCGCAAGTGCGACTGCCAATAAGGTATTTCGGGTTCGATTCCCGGGTCGGGCAAAGTATTTAAAAAAAAAACGTCAGTAGTATTACGAAGTCTAGAATTGTGCCCGGTATATGGCAAAAGGCTCACCCCCTATTACATGGATCTCATAACATAAATAGTGAAAAATGGGTATTACATTGTACTTACAACAGCATTAAGTGCCTTAACATGCACCTCTGCCTACCCCTTGGGGGCTATTAGGCATGTTATTATATTATGTTACATCTACGTCTGCCTAGCCTTTTTCGGAACTAAAAGGCATCATTCAAAATATCTATAGAAGTGGTAAAAAATAGATTGAGAAACAAAACACCATCTCATATTAAATTCTTGTACAGTTATACCTACATCAAACATCGATATACAATATTTATTTTATTTATATAGACTGAATACAGTAATATAATATTGTGTACAGGTGCACTTAATGCCTTGGGCATTGTCTCGCAGTCGATCTTAAGGTGGCGCAGAGGTGAAAGTGGCAGGTGACCAAGAAAATACTAATAATAAATCACTATGTATAAATACTTAGATAATTATATATACAGTCATACATATATGTGTGTACATACACATACAAAATACTAGTTTGTATCAGAGTTTTTAAACCAGGTCAAACATTGAATGCATCTGTAAGTACCTTATCTTCCTAGTGGCCATCATCTCTCCATGAAAGTAGTCATGTATTTCTCCATGCGAAACAATTATTCTGGCTCGATGCCCTAATGAATGACTCATGAAGACTTTCATGGAATTAATTTAGTCATAGTTTTGTTTTGTTTTCCATTTCATCTACCTGAGGATTTTGTCATAGGATCATTTCGTTTCGGTTACAATATGTACTCGTAGTAATTTTTTTTCTGAAGACTGCTGTCATCTGACATTCAAATGACATGCCTCGATCGAAACAGGAAAACGTCGTACCTTACATCTGTGACTCTGTCATTAGCTACCTCAGCCATCAGAAAAACTTATATAGAGACTACAAAAAATATTGATGGTTTTTCATTATAAAGTAATTCTTTATAAATTACGTTTAAAAAACAGAATTCAACCCCTCTTTTTTTGAAGTCGTTAATTAATATACTAAAATCTTCGAACATAATAATTATACTTACTGACCAGTTTGGCGATATATTAAAGAAGGGCCAAATTGAAAGTACCCTTAACCGACGAGCATGCATGAAAAGATTGATGACTGTTGATGAAGCTAAAGAGTTATGTAGGAATCGTAGCAATTGGCGTTCTATAGACTCTAGATCATATCTCCATGGAGATATGTATATAAAATATTCTCCTAATATAAGTGTAACAAACACTTTCAAAACCGCATCAAACCGGTTCAACCAATCGCGAGATAATCTCGCACACATACATGCATACAAGTCAAATTGAGAACCTCCTTTATTTCTTTAATGTTACACAAAATATAAGAACAAAATACAAATTCTTATAAAACATCTTCCATTCCTTACGACACATAACAAAGCTAAATAAACAGTACATTTCCACTGCATCACCTACCACAATGTGACGTCACAGTTCAGTATTCTAAGCCTTGCATACACAGTAGACGTGGCAAATAAATCGCACACAGCGATAGTGGCTTTAATTATTAACATTCATAAATGTTGGTAAGTGAATTTATGAATGTGTGGCTCTAGCTTTAGGTCGAGTGTGGTGCCAGTTTTAGCGGGTGAATATATTGTTTCTGTAATTATTCAAGACGATTGGGTAAAGTTGTGAACTTAACACGTATTTAAATGTAGAAAATATATAAATATTCGTAGCTCTCATAACATAACATCTCAGTTTTTAAATTACCGTGAGTAACCCACAATTATTAGTTAGTTAATTTAGTATGTATCACGATAGTTATAATACACCTCAGTTTTTGTTCAAAGTTTATGAGTCTTAAAATAATAAACCTTCGTATTTCTAGTTTCAGCTTGGTTACAGTTAGAAAACCGAAAACCAAATAATACTTTGCCTGATCGAGGATTAAACTGGATACACTCAAGGGAGGCAGAGGAAACGTTTAACAATTCGTTAACAAAGTACAGCTATATAGCTGTATCTATCAATGCAGCATTACAACATTATCGATACAACATTTATCGGTGAAGGCCTACGTTTTCGTATTTGTACGGCGGATTCCCGCTATGGAGTCTTCCAAACTATCTGTATTCGCTAAAAATAACGCCACACCTAGCTCAGGTAAGACAAATACGCTCATTTCCTGCGGAGAGCGCACCCGAACGTCCGCGCCGACAAATTGTGCCCACATTACCTTATTCTGAATGGTTTCCACTTGTTTACTACACACAATATATAAATTCTCAGAAAAATCCATTCCATGCCATTCCTTAACGAGTTTGATCCTAGTATCGGACAAAGTATTCGATTTTGAATTCCGAAATCTCAGTGAGATGTAACCTGGCTTGTCTGGCATTAGATCTGGCGTTTGGCTGTAGGTTCATCCACTATTAGAACCGAACAATATCCAAAATCTAGGAGTCTCTATCCTTAACTTCCTTTAGAATACAAGAGTACCTATAATAAGAATAATTAGGCTTCAATGTAAACCTTCAAACCTTCAAGAAAAGAGCGTATTCATTTTTAAAAGACCGGCAATGCACCTGTGGCTCCTCTGGTGTTGCGGGCGTCTATGGGCGGCGCTGATCGCTTACCATCAGATGATCCGTCTGCTCGTTTGCCTCCTATTCCATAAAAAAATGTTTTGGCAAGATATGGTTCTATACAGAGCCTATTGCTACCTATTTCTAGCCTTATTATGGGATTTATACCATTTGTATCTAACTTGTAAAGTGCACGTTTCATAAAGAAAAAAGTTTTCTACGGTCTATAATGCGCACTTTTTAACACGTCCAGAATAGGTCTGTAGCCACACTGCGCACCGGTAACAGCAGAAAGTTTGCCGCCTCCTTTTATTTATGACGCTTATGCCGTAAGAAATTCAACTTTTTGCCGTTCGCACCACCCTGACAGATCGCCAGGCGATTTGCTTTTATGTCGAAAGGATTTGTCGCGAAATTGCCGAAGATTGTCCACGTAAAATATGGGTGTGAATATTTTTGGTTCGTAAATTAATTTTGTAACGATAACAGGGCAAGTTGCCCTTTGGTTTTACGTAATTGCTTTGAACTTTTCGATACTTTTAAAAGGTTGTTTAAGTTCCGAGAAGTATTTTTTGGTTGCATCAAATTGTTCAATGGCCGGGTTAATAAATTAAAGTCAAAGTCAAAATCATTTATTTCAATTAGACCAGGAAGGCACTTTTGAACGTCAACAATAAAACATTTTAGAAGTGAAGCGAGTTGCTCATTCCAAAGTGTAGATTCCTATGGAGAAGAACGAGCAAGAAACTCCATAGGTTACTCTTTTTCAATCGGGTTTAAAAAGAAAATAACCTTGAGGACCATAAAATCATAGTTGTCATATTTTGCGTTCTTTGTTTTTTTTTTACAGAATTTATTCATCTTGTCTTCTAAAACTGAACATGTAGTTAAATCTGATCGTGTACCTACCATAAAAACCTTTTTGTTTCAGACAAACAAATAAATTGTTATTGCATATAAAATTGATATTCGTACCTTAAGTTCAAATCTATTTAACAAGGAGACACACATCTCCAAATTACACCTTATCATTCTAAACTAAGGTTAAAAATCGCATGAATAAAGTTACAACTACAACTACTCAAAAATTCGGTGGTGGTTGAACTGGAAAATAATTTTCTCAATAAAACTTCGTAGTAGCAGAGTGAATTTTATTTTATTCTATTTACATATCAATAAAAATAAGTACGGCCATCAAAACCCTAGCATCTAGATATAGACGAACATGAAACATAAAACTTTCGGTCAATTTACATTTTGATCGGCATTTGATGAGTACCACTAGTACCTACCTTAGCTCTGATGACGTGTAGCACGGGAATAAAAAAAATATACGAGATAAAAAACCGACCATTAAAAGTAGTGATATCCCAGGCACCCAGCCAACACGACACCTACCCACCGCTGAAAAGTATTTACTGCAAAATTTCTTAAATAAATGTGGAATTATATGTGTGTATCCGAATACTTGGTGAACTAATATAAGATGTTGTGTGAATGAATCCGAACGTACGGAATGAAATGGCTGTACGCTTAAGATTGATAGAAGATGGCGGACAGTTGATGAGCGAAGACGTTGTTCTATTTCATGACATTGTAAAAGACGGTTATTTTTTTAATACAAATATAGTTTATTTACTTTAAAATTAGTTTAACTAAAACCACTATATCCTACACAAAATCATCATCGTTTAGCCAATTTTAAAAAATCCTGTTCCGAAGACTGAATCTAAATTCGATTTTTAAAATCTATTTTTCTATAATGCCATCTTTAAATCAATATTCTAGGTAACATTGTCTGTGTCTAGATCTAGCCAAAAGTGGAAAGTGCCCTCAGGTAGGTAGCTAACTGCATTAGGCGCGACGAAAGACCCGCTAGTTGAATTTTGATAGTTTTGCCGGCAGACGTGCTACTTCGAATTCCGAACTCATCTTTCGTATTATTTGCTGAAACAATGTTACTTTATTTTGCGATTATACTTATTTGAAATTCTTAATTCTATCAGTCAAAACAATATCTATACGGGTGCGTCTACATCTGGTGAATATTCCGCGAATTAAAATTATGATTGATACAAGCCTTGCATGTAGACGCACTCTTAGATAGAATTCTTTAATAAAAGAAAACGAATGTGATTGTTTATTTATTACAAACTAGCGACCCGCCCCGGCTTCGCACGGGTGCAATATGCATGTATTATACATAAAAACCTTCCTTAAGAATCACTCTATCTATTAAAAAAAACCGCATCAAAATCCGT